CAATCTGTTGGGACTGGGCTGACGAAAGGAAATGGGGATAAGACTCTTGTGGTACAACAGTGAATACCTGATGCCAGGACTAATTGTGAGGGTCGGGCATGTAGAGGCAGATTTTTTTTTTCTCAACAAAAGGAAATTGATTGATTTTGCAGCCCAGGAGCAGAGGTCCCTGGGACCATCAAGCTTGAAGAGAGGAAAGTGTGACCCTACCCAGAAAGACAGTGAAGCCAGGCATGGAGACAGAGATGTTGGCATGGACAAATGGAGTGGCTGGGGACACGGGACTCAGGGAGCAAGAGGAACTGTTTGCTGACAGCCAGTGGGGCAGGCATGTGGGGTGTATCCTTTGTTTATTTGATGATGCATGGAGGGGAATTGTAATCTTTGCAATGAAATGTAATACGATAGGATGAATGTGAAGTTGAAGTGGGACAGAAGCAAATAATGATATATCCACAACCCTGGAACAACAGGGCTCCGGGATACAGAGATTGAGACATGGTTGGAATGGGGAAAAGGGGGGAAACAATGTAAAGATACTTGGCTGTCTTTTGAATCTTGGTTTCCCTGGCATATCACTATAAAATAGACACTGGACGGGGAGAGAAAGGAATAGGCAGAAATATCACCATAGAAAGCTTGTAAGTCTGTCTTCTGCCAATAACTGATTGGAATACCAAAAATGGGGCTACAACATGCCCAGTGAAGGAGGCTTCCTGTGGAGGCTCTGCAATACACAAGACCATAGGTGGAATCCTGAACAACATCCAGAATCTTCTGAGGGTAAATTTCCACTTGAAAGGACAAGCAGACCAGCCTGGAGTGGCCAGAAGAACTGAAGATACTTCTTGAAAGAAGAACTGACAGGAAAAATACAAAACAATACAGGCAGATCAACTGATTACTACAAAAACCAACAAGTGGCTCTCCCAGGAGACATCAAGGCAAGTGGTCGGGTCCCCTCAGTGCAAACCCGCTTCCAAGACCAAGACCCAATGGGAAGACACGCTCTGATTGGTGACCACATTTGTCACCAATAAGGGGAAGTGAGGGAAAAACAGCAATGATGCTGTGAGTTAAGACCTACAATGTACAATAGACTTCTGTAAACCTGATAAGACTCCTGTGAACCTGGCTGGAGACCTGGCTGGCCAGCAGTGTGGCAAGACCTGGGGACTCTTGGGCCTAGAGTCAGTGACATAGCCACAGAGGACTAGAGTGGAGAGTGAAGCGTCCAGATGATAAGAAGAGAGGGCACATGCATAAGTACACCCACACTTGCAGATAATACCCACTTGACCTGGCTTCAATGGCTGGATGATCAGAGCTCAAACAGAAGAAGAAAGAAGAGGGAAAAAAGAATAATCTAATACAATTTGATGAACTTGACCTGCACCTATGGACGCAGTAGCTCAAAAGAGGGAACAAATCTTCATAGCAAGAATCATTCATTCCATCCCTCCACACATGGAGAGGACAGGGAAGGGCAACTTGGACATTGGCTACCCAGAATGGAGGGGCTACAGAGGCAAGAAGTGACTGGCTTACCAGCTTTCAAGAGGGAACCTAGATCCAGAGGGCGTGGAACAAGGTAAAATCTCCACTGAGTAGTATCCAATCTGTCTCAGCGGGGCCAAGGAAAGGAGTTGCAGCTAGGTCTCTTGTGATACAATGGTGAATAATTGTTATCAGGACTGATTCTAAGGGCTGGAAATGTAAAGGTCCACGTTTTGTAGCAAAGGGAGGGATGGGATTAACTTTGCAGTCTAGGGGCGGAGGTCTCTGAGACTATTAGGAGAGAAGAGTGGAGAACGGAACCCTACCCAGAGAAGCAGTGATGCCAGAGATGGAGGCAGAGAGGACGACGTGGAGAGATGGAGCGTTTGGGGACTTTGGACCCAGAGAGGGAGAGGTTCTTTTGTGCTGATGACTGGGAGCAGGCTTGCATGGTATACCCTGTGGTTGGTGGATGATACATGGAGGGGATTATAACCATAGCCAGGAATTGATATGTTCTCCCATGTAAACTATCGCATAACTCAAAATAAAGCATCCTATATGCTTCAGTGGAGTCCTGGTGTGGCGCTGTGGGTTAATGCGCCAGACTGCAAAGTTGTTTGAACTGCAAGGTTGGCAGTTCAAGTTCTCCAGCTGCTCCTTGGAAACCCTACTATACAGGGTAGCTATGGGTTGGAACTGACTCAATGGCACTTCACAACAACAACATATGCTTCAATAAAAAATAAATAACAAAGAAAGAAAAGAAAAGACCCAAATATTTTCCATGCACATTACTTTTCATCTTTGATCCTCTTTATCAGATGGAAAATCATTAGAAAAATTTCACAGCCAAGAAATGAAATTGCTTTAAAAAAAAAAAAAAAAGTAGCTATGTCTATACATTGTGTGTGTGTGTGTGAGAGAGAGAGAGAGAGAAAGAGAGAGAGAGAGAATTTACAGAAAGATGATAGATCCATTTCTTGTTAAGTTTTCCTCTAGGTTCCTTTCCTCTCCAGGGAGCATTGCCCCTTGATCATTTATTTGGATGAAAAACATAAAATATATGATCCCTTAATATCCACCAAGAATTACTAAATATAACTGTATCAAACATTGTTCATAATTAAGTCAGCTTTTAAACATAAGAAACCAGGAAGCAGTTTTTGAGCACCCAATTATGAGATGACGTTTTTGCTCTTTTTTAAAAAACTTTTTAATGAACATATTTCTCTGAAAAGTACTTCTTTTTTAAAAGTACTTATTTTAAGGAAGTACTTTAAGGAAGAAAGTGAGAGATTTCCCAAAGAGAATATTAAAAAAAAAAATCTTGTGGTTCCAAATGTAGGGTAGACACCCTCTGTAACTCAACCAAAGTGGGAAAGACGTGGGATTGAAGAAGGGATGAAAGGCAAAATGGTGGATTCCTTTTGGTAAATTTATTGCGTGCATTCTGGACTCAGAAGTAGAAACACAAATCCAGAAAGGCAGCAGCTGAAGATGTGTTGCAAAAAATACTTACTTTCACATTTATATCTGGATTAGATTATAAAAGACATCCTTCTAATTGTTGTGCTGTTGAGTCAGTTCCGACCCACAGTGACCCTGTATAGGGTTTCCGAGGAGCAGCTGGTGAGCTTGAACCACCAACTTTGTGGTTCAAACTGACTTTGTAGTCCAGTGCATTAGCCCACAGCGCCACACCAGTACTCCCGTTTTCTATTTATGTAAATTCATTCTCCTGATTCTGGAAAGGAGTAATAAAAGTTTATTCCTATGTCTTATGTTTGAATTTGGTATTTAACTGATTGGTTTATTGGAAAGTATGCCAACTGAATCTGAGGCAAGGCAAAGAGCTCTAACCAAATCTCAGAAGCACACCTTGATCTTGTGACATTTGCCATATAACACAAACTCCAGGCACCTTCACAACCTGTGTCTGCACACTAGAGAAATTAACTGGTAGAACTCAGATTCTTATGTGCTGAAACCACAAAGCAAAAGTCACTGAGTTTTAGCCTACAGCACTGTTTGGAATCCAGTATTTCTCCTGGAACAGCATGGGCTCCACGGTCCTCTGGCTTTGAGAGAACACCCTGCTATTGTTGAATTTACTTAGGCTTGAAGTATTGATTTCTACCCTCACTCCCATGGGTCTCTCTGTGCTTATCAGAAATGATAGTGGGCTCTATGCCCTTATCACCCTTTCATTTATTTGTTCCCCTAGTTGTGTTGGTAATTATTAATGCAGTGTCAATGTCTTTTCTTCCAGTCCTCCTCGACCTCTGACTAATATGAATGACAACATGGTTAGCCACATGTCCTCTGGAGTGCCCACTCCCACCAAGAGGTATGTATGTCTGTGCCTTATTGGCTGCTCAGAGTTGACTTCAGGCTTCTGCTAGTGCTATGCAACATTCCCAGCAGAACAGAGGCCCTGGGAGCAGAACCTTCCACAGGGCAGAAAGGGCTGGCTTGCCTCCTCCTCTTTTGACTGACTTACATTATTTTCTACTTTTTGTCTTCTTTTTCTGGTGACTTGTAAATATAACAACTGCTGTTGAGTGATGCCTGAGGTGAAAACTTCATTTGTGGCAAGCAGTAAACATAGTGTCAAAGCAGATTAGACATGTTTGAGGCTTAAAGAAAAAAGAAAGAATATCTTGACAATCATGAGTTTCAACAGTTTTGCATTTGAGTTCTTTGAGTGTCAAAGATCGTTTCTACTTTCTGATTAGACTGTATAAATTGAATTAATCCCTTTTAAAAGATTATCCTGAATCATTCTGGATATGATTATAAACATGTAAGTTTAAAAGACTGCATCCCTCTCTTATTTAACTAAGGAGTTTCCTTTAGGGTCCTTCAAGGAATTAGAATTGTGTATTCCTTTACTTAATTTACTCTTCTCCAGAATTCTCTTAGGCAGGAGTTAAAAGAATTATTTAAAATGGCTTATTTTCTATTTGATTAAGCTGTTCCAGGACCAGAGCAGAACAGAAACTCGCTCTAGGGCACAACCATTCAAATAGTTATCACTGTAAAAGGACAAAAACAAAGAGATTCCAACCCAGCTCCTTCCTGAAGAAACCCACTTTGTGCCATACGCACTGAAGGCTTTGGATTCATTCAGTTATAGAAATGTGGCTTGCTTAAATAGCACTTTGACATACTATATATGTGTTAGTATGCAATATGTAATCTTTAAAGCCAACAATTCTTGTTCCCAGTGACTAAAACTCCTAACGCAAACTTGCTGATGAGCAGAGTCACCTGGGTCACTTGTAAAAAATATAAATTTCTGGGACTGTATCAGACGCTATGAATCAGAATTGCCAAAGAGAGGATCCTGAGAAGCTATATTTTTTTAAACAAGTATTCCAGATGATTCTTATTATCAAGCAGTTTTGGGAAACAACTTTACAAAGAAGCTAAGGAGTTAACTGTAGGGCTCCCCTGGAATAGAGGACTAAAGGGCTTGATAAGTCAGAGTGCCCAAATAATACACCATTATCCAAATGAAGACTCAAGACCCTGACCAGGGAAGAGTTTTGCCTGCAACTTTGTTAGGACTCTTCTAGCTGGGGAACAGACAAGTTACTTTTGGACAAAACTGTGAGGTCTGTGACCATGGCTGAATGTAGCTTCTTGAGGCTATTAGTGGGAGTGGGCTTTGTGGACAAGGTCTTATTTCCTTGGAGGAATTGCTCCAACACAATAATAACCACAGCCACCTCTGTAGAAGGACCAACTTCTAGACTTAATGTGGCTATATTTAAGCCCCAGGCTTGATTGTAAGTGTGGCCAACTGCAACTGATAGTCACAAAATGATATCTGCCAATTTTGAAAGCTTCTTCATATATATAGTACAGCCTGAGTTTAGATTTCTTTTTCAATTTGGGATTTCAACTAATACCTTATTCTGGGTTGAGTTAGTCAATCCTACAGGTGGTTATCTTTGACTCTCTAGGTGCTGGCCAGCTGACCAAAGGCAGCCACAACCCTTAGCACACCACAAGGGAAGGTTGAACTCTGCAACTAACCTAAAAGAATAGTTATGTGGGAATAAGACATCTAGACCCTAACAATATAGTCCTTAGGATTTTATATTTCATTTATATTTGGTATGAAATTATGACATAGTATGTGGACACTGATTGCACAATTCAGAGACTTCTTGATGGGTTCTTCATGGCCCAAGTTACCAAGTGGTATAAATTACCAGACAGTGTTCTGTTCACTTTCTCAAGGACTTACCAGTTTTTCTTCCCTCCTCTGAATGTTTTCAGACCTGTCTCTTCAGTGTCTGATGAAAGCCAGGGGCCAACACATCATCACAGAGCTTTACTCTCTTGAGGCAAGAAATGCTGAAGGGAATAAACCCCTCTGCAGAAAAAAGAGGTCTGTTTTAGAGTGCAGCATAAGATATAAGTCACAATCAGACAAGAGTAAGCATGCACAGTAATTAAAATGCAAAGAAAAATGAAGAGATACAGTTTCTACGTTTTGAGTAGGCAATGTGTATAAAAATAGTAATAAACACAGTGATTAAAATATTAGTCTTATTTGTTTAAATAAAAGATAATTGGGAAAAAAGATAATCTCAACTGTAAGGAAATCCTGTTCTTTATAAAAAAAAAACCTTATGAATGATAAAGATGCTAATCATTGTATAATGCTATGAATTATGTTGCAGAGAGATGCTACTCTACAGATTTTCCTTTATAATATAACCTTTTTAAGTCCTACATTAATATTTCTATACTTGAAAAGAAATTTTGCCCTAGCCTTAAATACTGCCTTGGAGCTTGCTTTCCTTGAAAATCATTAGAACAGAACATTTAAAAACAAACTTAACTGAATTTTAAGAGTTTTAACACCCCCCCATTGCTCCTCCATATAATTTCCTCCTAGACTTGCATCTATCTCTCTTCTTCCCAAAATTCAGAATACAAGAGATCTTCAAAATTGGAAAATGGAATTAAAAGATATTTGAATGTTTCCCCAAACAATTTGAAGTCACCTTATATGAATTGTACTTTTTACTCTGTACTTTGTACTATTTAAGTCATACCTTATATTCAGACCCTTATGGAAAATGTACAAATGGCACCAAACCCATTCCTCCCATAGTATTCTATTCAGCTGGGTTTCATAATTCATTGTAATAGCCACACAGAACTCGGACACCAGACTCGCAGTTATGGAGTTTATTAGAGAAGTAAACAGATTACATAAGTAAACAGTGAATAAGGAAGTCCGTAGAAGAATTGATGCCTTTGAGTTATGGTTTTGGAGGAGAATATTGAAGTGCCACGGGTTGCCAAAAGAACCAATAGATCCATTTTGGAAGAAGTGCAGCCAGAGTGCTCCTTGGAGGGCAGGATGGCCAAACTTCGTCTCTCATACTTTGGACATATTATCAGGAGGGACCAGTCACTGGAGAAGGATGTCATGTTTGGTAAGGTGGAGGGTCAGAGGAAAAGAGGAAGACCCCCAATGAGATGGATTGGCCAAGTGGTAGCGTCAATGGACTGAAGCATGGGAACAGTAGTGAGGTTGGCCCAGTATTGGGCAGTGTTTCGTTCTGCCGTGCATAAGGTCGCTATGAGTCAGTACCGACTTGATGGCACCCAAGAACAACAGCAACAACGAACAGGTTACACTACAGAATTAGAAATGCTTAGGGCATAGTTTTTTCTATCAGGACAGCCTCTTCCCAGCCATGCCTACAGGCAGGCCTCTCTCTGGTCCTTGATGTCCGCCCTGCTCTAGCAATGTCACCAAGCAATTTTCAGGCTGCTGATCAATGTCTAAAGCACTCCACTCCACTATGAACTTCAGCCCGAAGGCACTCGGCTCTAGCTTCATGGGTCAGCGCATCTAGTTCCCCACATTTAAGTGCCTAGAGGCACCGCGCTCCACAAGTGAGCCTCCTGTCTGCATGTATTCAGCTCTGCCTGCTCCATGGGCCAGGAAGCCCGCTGCTCTGGCCTGTGCTCTGACTCTTGGCTCTGTTGCTTCCACTTCTCTGGTGTCACAGCTCTGTCTCTTGGGTCAAAGAGGTTCAATATTCAGTAATCTCAGGGTCCAAAGAATGTGCTCCCCTCATAGCTCTCTTCTAGACAGTTGTGAGATCCCCTCCTCCTACTTCTGAGATGGGTCGTTTTCAACCTATTTTAGAGTTCCAAGTTTTTACAATCTTAGTGAACTCTGTTAACAATCTCTCACAACTGAATTTATTATCCCATCAGTCTCTGCTTCCCCCTTTCTTACCCAGACCCATTAGAAACAGTTGTTTCATGGGAGTTACAAAGACTATGGGGTAAGAACCATATGAAGTAAAAAACAAGGCTAATATTTTGGATTTTTAAAATACCTTATGAAGTTTTAGCTTTAATTATTTGTGAATCCCTATACTTTTACAATTCTATGAGAATTTTAAACGGCAATAATAAAAACCTTAAATAGGAAACTCTTTTTGCTTTGTGCATTTGGTTGATACATCAGTTACAACTCCTTTAATTTCATGTTATTAAAAGTGTGAAAGGCTCAAATCCACAAGGACAAAGTCAGATGCAGACAGGGAAGGGCAGGGGTGTACAAGGATCTGAGAAGCAACTTAAGCACTACCAGGATGGTGTTCCATTCCATCCCTTGGCTTCGCCTCTCAGAGAGCCATCGTGACTCCCTTCTCCTGTGGAACAGCTATTTCTGAATACTGCCAGTGGCTTCAGACACACATCTCACAGCTCTGCCACTCCAGGGGCTGTACCTTTCTTTTCTCCCTAGGCTTCAAGGAAAAAATCCAAGGCAGGAGTCTGATTGTTCAGAACCGTATCGCTGCCCATCCCTGTATGTATGATTGGCCATGCCCTGTAGGCCTGTATCATCAGAGCAGAGGGAGAAACATTTCCCCAAAGGGAAGGTTATGCTGCCTAGAAAAGGAAAAATCCCAGGAAAAAGAAAATAATAGCAATCTTTAGCAGACCACCTCTTTACTACTCATACACAACTGTGTGCAAAAGTGTGTGCATATACACTTGCCCACACACACCCCCACTTGCAGAATTTTCCACTGTCATATAATGCAACTACACATGCACTTGCATCTTTCTTGGGAGTTTTGTCCACTTCCTGTAGTTAACACTGAGTCCTGGATATCTGGGTTAAGTCCCTTTGTTCAGCTCAAGTCTAGGTATGTCTTTCTGTGATTCGTTAATCTATGGACCAAATGACGAAATTTAATTACTCACACACCCAGTATAAGAGGATGTTGTTGTTAAGTGCTGTCAAGTCGGTTCCAACTCACAGCGACCCTGTTTAAGGTTTCCAAGGGGCAGCTGGTG